AATGTTTGAATATCACAAATTTAATAAAAACACAAAGCAAAATCTGAATTAAAGTAACTGGGTGCAAATACACAAGTTATTACGGGCGTATGGCGTGAGATTTTAAAGTTACGGCAGTTAACAGGAGCACAACCAAAGTACCCCTGGGGCGTGCTAGCACAAGCGGGGTTTGGGGATACCGGTCTGGGGCTGTTCTCCCCCCACGACGGTGATTCTATCTATCGCAAAGCCTACCCGCACGCACCTCCATTAAGATCATGCTGTGCGAAACTAGACCGTTACGGTCGCCAGACCCGCAGTTAGTTCTCGACTATTGGGCCAAGTCGAGAGCACTACAACATTGGCGACCGCCCCTGAATCTATCCAAACCTGTGGACTTATACAGGTGACACGATAAATCTCGCCAGCCCGACTAGGAACCGCACTTCGCTTCTGCCACGTTTTCTGTGTTATTTAACCTCAATTCCATTTTTTAAAGGTTCAATCTCTTATAACTCAACAACTGAACAAGTGTTAAGGTTTCAACGAGCAATAAATAACATTTAAATTCGCCATACAATCTTGTGAAATTTTAAACAACAAATAATTCTTGTCATCAGATAATTTATAGGATGGTAACATTCATCAACAAAATATTTACAAAACAAAACTTAGCAAAGATTTATGAAACAAAAGATCTGGTGTGAAATCAACTCGTGCAAATAGAAATATTAGGTGAGGTTAAAACTGTAGAGTATGAGATTTACGTTCAATTAAAATTATACAACAAAGGAAAATTGCTGAGGTTAAAATTGTGAGATTAAAGAAATATTGTATGAGGTGAAAATTTGCAAAGTTAACAAAATTTACATTAGATTAATAATTGCCACACTTTTTCAATGATTCAAACAAAGAGTTTACATTATGTCAAATTATATCATGATCTAAGTGATTGGTTACTTAAAAAAAACAATTTACTTTGAGTGTTTAAAATACCGCGAACAAAACACATAATAAACAGATACAAAAACATCCAAACATCGCTCCGAGGGAAAAAGCGTCTCGGTGATGTTAATTTTTAAATCGTTGCGAGGAATTGCCTCGATGATGTATATTTTAGCGGTGGAAGGAATAAGCCTCGTTGATGTTATTAATCTCTAGCGTTACGAGGACGAACCTCGATAAAGTAATCAATCTGCAGCGTCGTGAGGGCATGCTCAGTGATGTAGTCACGATAACGACGATAATAACGATGATAACCGCCTAAGGGAAGAAATCATTTTAAACCCCCCCGCCAGATCGCAGTATTATGAACTTGTTTAACTGCCAGAAATGAACTATTAGCAATCTTGTGTGAAGAATTAAGAAGTGTTATAATGTAACACTTACGTATATGCATCCAGAAACTTATTCGTAATTAAACAACAAGGTGTTTTCCTGATTAAGTGAATTTCATGAAATCTTCTAGTAGGTGGTTTATTTAAATAATCCTGATTGTTAAATTGTGTTTGCACTAGTTGACGATAAGAAAAACTAACTTGATTGGTGAATTTTCAAACAATAAAACAAATTTACAGCACGTGTTTCGCGTTGAACGGAAGTCCGCAATTTTTCGATTAAAAAGGCCGCAAGGATTAACCTCGCGGGTTGGGGACAACGGAGTGACGTTGGTTACGATTGATTGTCGTTAAACAAAGGCTTTCTCCCATTTTATTAACTACCAAACCAACTAATTTAAACCTAGCTCTTACCACGTGTTTACACTCACAAAGGCACATTCCGGATGACGCTACGCCATGCCGCCCTTTGTCTCTACCAACCCTCTAACTAAAATCCCATAGCGCTACCTGCATATTTGGTTGCCTATGTTTAAGGATTTCTTCTTTTTTTCTTTTTCAAATTCAAATTATTCAAATATGATTTCGCGCCGCTGTTAAATAATTTCAGCGCGAAAATTTTGATTTAAATTCGGTCACCACAACTTGAATTCATGCATAATTTGATACATTAACTTCGGAAACGGGGGACCTATTTCTTCGAAAATATGAGGAACATTTTTGTGGTTGACAGCACCAATTCCACGAAAATCAAATTTTGGTAGAGATATGAGGTCCACTAAGATTAAGCCATTTAATCACCTGTTCACCGAAACCCTCATATTTTAAATAGCTGCCATCATTTTCTACACTGTAGCTTTCTGTCAGTACTTATGCATTGTTAAAGATAGTTCTCGACTTTTAAATCAATAAAATTATTGTTATTCGTATCAAAAACAGATTAAGAATTATAACTACAACGGTTTACATTTTGCCCCTTTTTCTTAATATGGGTAGTCTTCTTTTCACGACAAGAAAGGTAAAACATGTTTAAAATGGTAAATTTTTGTAGAAAAGTATGGATTTTGCAATTAGGCTCCGCCCTTTGTTCTGACAACGAATGAAAAATTCATCACAATTGAGATAGGGTGGGTGGATGGGGCTTATATTTGGCCGTTTTTTTCTTAATATACATAGCCATTTTTTTATAACAAGAAACTTAAGCATCCATAAAATGGTTTTTGCAAAGAAGTATGGATTTTGCAACTATGGGGCGGAGTCTAATTGTAAAATCGATATTTCCTTACACAAAGTTTTCATTTTAAACATGTTTTAAGTTTCTTGTTATGAAAAGAAGTCTACACATATTAAAACAAAAAGGCATAGTAACGATTGTTATTATCATAGTTACAATTGCTCTTAATCAGAGATTAAATTTGATTTGCGTTTATGCAACCGGCCCTTAATTCTTTACTTGATAATATTTGTAATAATCATTGCGCTATCGGCAAAATTCAGGAGACCGAATAAACGCACAGGATCGTGTAACGGAAGACGAATGACTGGTCCGCACCCAAATGTAGAGTTGCTTTCTCATTGTGAACTTCTGTAACACCCCTGTCAGCCCTTTATTCGAATGTGAAACAGAGATTAATGGGCATTTCCAAGTTTCGGCCTCGTGGAAAGTAGGTACCATCAATGACGTTGATTATAGCCCATAGAAAACGTATTTCTAGGGGCTATAACGTTGATCTTTAACATAATTTCATCTATGACGTCTGAAAAACCTACTGCGAGACTTTTATTTCTCATACTTATCAGACCAATTTGAACTTTTTTCGTTTTATCATCATTTCTGTTACCTATTGTTTCATCAAGCGTAAGATTGTTATCTGTTTGTACTTCTAACTTGTCCCCAATAAATTCCTTGATGTCAAGTTTTGGAGTGCGAATGGGGGGAGGGGGGATAAATAGATACATTTTTATTAACGGTTTATCCTTACGATGACTCTAAAGCGTTTACAAGAATTCAAAGTACATTTCAAAGTACCTTTTCAATTGTAAAATATTGTTATCCAATTTTGATTTTTTTTTTCAAAATCTATATATCGAAGGTAAAAAATCAAGCCGGATTAGTACTCCACTTGCAAGGATATGAATATGGTATCTTATAAAATTTAAATAGCATCTACTATGCAAAATTTTGAGATGATGTTATTAGACTGATAATGATCAGACAAATTTGAACTATCGTTTATTTATTTTATCCACATGCTATTTCTAAAGTTTATATCAAATTTTACAACAACCAGTAAAGTAGTTTCGGAAATTATCTGTTTATTGAAATACTTAAGTATCTTATTATTTGTTCGGAAAATAAAAATTCAATGTCTCCAAGCGAAAATTTTGATCTGTCCAAAGTATAATCACAAGAATGTTTTAACAAAACAACAGATGTGTATAAATACAGGAGTTTAGTGATTGTGGTTTGATGCAGTAAGCTCTATTACTAATAATGTAATTGTTGATGAAATTATGATTCGGTCCAGCAGGACTCCAAAGATTACATATAATAATCACTGGTCAACAAAATTTAATTTTTTCTCTCTAACTTTGACATAATTGTAATGTTTTCGTTTAATTTGTCTCTGTGTTTGTAACAAAGAGCATAAATCTTATAACTTAGCTCAATTAAAAAAAATATGCATATTTGATGTTTGAAACACAAAATCAGGTAAAACAATTTAATTTTTGTATCTTTAACGGCAAAAAGTGTAGTATTAACAAAAGAACAACCTTAAATGAGAAAAAAACAACGAATGTAGTTTAAAAAACGAAAAAAACAAAAGAAACAGCGAAGACCGACGTTTTTTCGGTTGCCTCCTATAGATTTTATTGGAGATCTCTCGCTCTTGGTCCCGCAGTATTCTGCGAGCATTTAGGTGTCATTTAGGTGTTCCATCGATCTTGGTAACGTTTTTCTATCGACAAAATGCCCAGATGGATGCGTTCTCTATGATGGTCACTCACGTCGTCACAATTTTTGGGGAAAAAATCAAGGTGCGAGTGTATAAAATGCACTTTTAAGAATATGTTAATTTTAAATTTTTTATATGATGATAACATGTCTTCTACTTACTAAACGTAGTTTTCTTATTGTTTCCCAAGAAGTTTGTAGCAATTTGATTACAAAAAAATACACCTTATAGAAAGTTTCCTATTACTTAATAGTACGATTTTTGATTTTTCAAAGGATAATATTTTAAGATTACTTTTAAATGAGAGCTAAGTTTTGGTTTAGCCCTTTATAATATCATTTAAAATTGCTAATTAAATAATAATTGACTGATATAATAAAAGTTAGAGTTTAGCTGTTGACCAGTGTAATGTTTTGGAATTTACGGAAAGAATGTTTTAGCACATGCCTAGAAGTACCATAAAAAATGCTAAGCCAATATGTTTCGGTACCATGTAAGTATGGCATGAACATCATTTAATCCATCGTGAGTGCGCTATAAAAAGCGGTTCAGATTGTTAAATTAAATTCTAGTTGGAGCGCGTATAACTTTACCTCGCCATTCTATGACCGACGTTGTGACAGCAAGCTAACAAGGAACTAATAGACGTAGTCAAAAACACTACACTGTCACAATTAACCTTATACCAACACAAATTAGAACTTTCAAATCACCCATTAAATTTTTGTCATTCGACTGTCATGTCATGGTAATATCTTTTTTTTCTTGTTGTCCTCCTTTGTTTGTCCTTGCTTTAGTCGCTGGCGGCTATTATTCCTATGTCATCGAATTTTGTCTCCTATACCTCGTTGGAGTAACGAAGAAAATTATCTACATCACCATTTACCACTTCATGCTAGTAATGTTTACGTGGTCATTCTTTAGCACAATGTGCAGCGGCCACGACGACATTCCCGATGAATATCGCCTCACCCCCAGTGAAAATGAGCGCCTGTTGTCTTACAAAGAATATGACGCAGATCAGATATTGAAAAAGATCGTTAATCTGCGGAAACTAGAAATCAACACATGTGCTCCTAATAGTCGAATACGCTACTGCAAAGAGTGCACGCAAATCAAACCAGACAGGACCCACCACTGCAGCTCTTGTAAAAGGTGCATTATGAAAATGGACCATCATTGTCCGTGGGTAGGAAATTGTGTTGGATTCAACAATTACAAACAATTCGTTTTAACGCTGTTGTACGCCACGATCTGGTGCACTTTCTACGTGGGTACTGTTGCTGAATACATAATTGAAATTTGGCGTGACATTCAGAACAGCGTAAACAAAATTATACTCGGAACTGGGTAAGACAAAAAGCTGAAGTTACAATAAGGCTAGGTATAGCTGACTTTTTAGGTTGTTGGTGATAGGTTTGTCTGGCGTGTTGTCATCATTTTTATTCTTCTACCATGTGGGTTTGTTGACTCGGAATGAAACTACACTAGAATCACTGCGCGAAACCACATTTAGGGAAGACAATTTGACGTTCGATTTAGGGAAGTGGAATAACTTTGTTACAGTATTTGGGGACAATATTTGTTGTTGGTTTATACCAACTGACACCGCCATAGGAAATGGACACGAATTCACAGTCAACCGTTTGATTGGTTAGATAGAAACAAACAATGAAGATGCTTTAAAATTTATTCACATTTAAACAGTAATAAAATCGTAAACCCACGGATACATCTTGCTCCATATTTTGACATGGGAAATATGTAAACCTATATATGTAATTCTAATAGTAATTATAATTAATAAAACTCTTAATAGAACATTTCATATAATAGTGTAAACAGAAAACCATTTTATTATAATGAAAGCCTAATGCAAATAACATAGTAACCATATTTTATTTGGGAAATGGAAGTTCTTTTACATTGAAAATGTTGAATACCAGATTTTCATAAACTACCTGGCTTAACAAAAAGGGTCCAAACATTAATTGTTAAACATACAATTATTTGATGAATATTAAAAGGTAAAAATAATGCGAATCTGAGACAAAAATAATAAGTCGAGTGCACCTTAAATTGAGAGGAAAACAAAAAGAGCACTCGACACCCTGTTATCGGGATGAAATCTTTAAATGGCATCGATATCGACGTCATCCTCTCCATCATCCACTTCTTGTTTATTATTAGCAGTGGAAGTTGGCTTCAATGGAACAACTTGAGCACGGTCGTTGTATTCAATTTCAACTTCATCGTCGCTTCCTTCCTCACTTTCTGACTCCTCAGTCTCAGCCTCCTTCAGCCACTTTACAAACGGGGCAGCCTTGTCGTGTATTTCTTGACTTATTTCCTTCGACACATACTTCTTTGATACCTGAAACACAATGTGACCACCTCAGAAAACAAATTCCAGCGCTCGCACTATAATTACCTTTTCTGCCCAAGCGATAATCGTGGCTTCGCTCAAAATGTCTAGGTCGTACAAAATTTTCAGTAACCCTGGCACCTTGTTGAGCAATGCATCGCGATGCAAAGCGATCACCTGCTCAAAACCCCCTATTAAATATCTCTGTGCTTTTTTATCCTCGTGACAAAAACGCAGCAGCAGCATCCTGTAGTCATACAACTGTGTCCGCATGTTTTGATCAAAAAGGACTTCGGCTAGAACGAGTGGTGCTTTTGTTTTGATTTCGAGTCTTTCGGCTTCATTGAACAACTCTTTGAAAATTTGCGCGTTATCCAGCTGACCAGCATCGCGTTTTGACTTCACCAGCTCGTAAAATATGTCCATGCGCTCTTTTTCCGTTTTTTCCAAATCATCGGTAATGGTCATGTTCTTGGCGCCGTCGGTCAAATCTTGCATGCGAGCTCGCACGGCTTCTTCAGAAACGTCCGCTGCCCATTCGGTATCGTCGTCGTTTTCACCCTGCGAAACCAAAGAACTCCAACTTAACGGAACTAAAATTGCAAGATTTAAAAAATGTACTAATACACATGCCCATGGGGTCGAGTTATATTCTAAATCACCTTCAGTTAAGTTTTGTTTACAAGAAATCGTTGGCAGCTCTAATTTAAAGTCCATGTATAAAATGCAGCACAATTTCGTTACTAATTTAAACAGTTTTTTTAATTTTCTGAAACTGTTTTTTTATTTACAGGATTAGTAATTTCTTTTAAACAAAAAAACTTGTCCTTCTTGTTATTCCTAATAAAATTTTATAGGGTAGAATGAAATTTCCGAAAATATATATTAAATTCGCTAGATGCAGTGTAATACTAATAACAGTACTGTATTCCCAAATATTTGGTAAAATGTAGTGATTCATTCTTAAATTGATTAATAAATAAATTGGCTTATTCATTAATTTTTTTGAGTCACCCTGTATAAATAATTCTAAAAACTATCAGTGCTTGATAAGCTATAAGTATAGAGTCATAATGATCTGTATGATTGAGAGGATTTATTAACACAATTTTTAGATGACGTCATCAAACTTGATCAATTTTGAGAAAGGGATAAACGAATAAATTTTGATTAACAATTTATCATATTAGGATAACCTTACAACGTTTTCAATATTTCAGAGCATTTGGTTTTGCAGTATCAGTGTTAAATTGTTAAATTAGTTGGGACACCTTTTTAATTTTTTTTTCCAAAAATCTGGATGTCTACGGCAAAGTAGTTTCGGAGATTATCTGTCTAATAAAAATTGATAAACGACAGATAGATGGACGGTAACGGAAGACCACTAAACATGAAAGTGGCAAGCCACCAAATAGACTGGATTACTATGCGAGATGGTTTTCAACAATCATTTTAATAAGAATTTTTAATCTATTTTTATTTAATTTTTATTTCCTCAGCGTAAGCGAACAAAGTATTGTAATCGAGTCCGTTGACCGACTCTGTACCTTTACGTTTTCTCGACCTTTCATGGCCCCGACAGTACGAACAATTAGGAATCTGTCTCCCGTTTCCGTCTGTCTGTCGTCCCGGATTTTTATTAAGACAGATGATCTCCGAAAGTACTGCATGATAAATTTTTAATCAAAATATTTTTGCTTATCCCCTCCAAAAAATTGATGAAGTCAGCTCAAAATTTTGCCGAATAAATCCTAAATTGTCCAAAATATGACGAGTCGATACTTGTGATTTGTCATTCAATTCATATTTTTTTGGATTTGCTTATACAGGATGACTCAAAAAAATTAATGAATGTATGAATTTATTTTCTTAATTTAATCCGGAACTGCAAAACCGAATGCTTTGAAATCTTGGAGATGTTTTAAAGTTATCATACGCATGATACATTTTTGATCAAAATGTATTTGCTTATCCCCCCTAAAAAATGATGACGTGACCTCAAAATATTTATTGCTGAATAAATCTTAAATGTGCAAAATATGATCACTCTATACTTGTGATTTATCACTGCATTAAATTTTTTACATTTGCTTATACAGACGACTCAAAAAAAATTAATGAATCAGTCAATTTATTTTATTATAAATCACGAATTGCACAACTGAATACTTTGAAATCTTGCAGACGTTTTGAAGTTACTGTAAGCATGGTAAATTGTTAATCAAAATATATCTGTTTATTCCGCCCAAAAATTGTCACCTTAAAATTTTGTTGATTAAATTCTACCCAAAATGTGCAAAATATGATGAGTTTTTATTTGTGATTTATATATATATATTTTATATATTTATATTTTTTAGATTTACTTAAACAGGTGACTCAAACAAATTAATGAATGAGTCAACTTATTTTATTGACAGGAGCTCACTCCATTTTCCCAGAAAATTTTGGGAATGCAATACTGTTATTTTTAGTATTATACTGCACCAATCCAAATTGATACACGTGTCCTTGCAAAAATGTCGATGATATCATCACAAAATTGTGTACAGAAAAAACTCAACTCGAAAATGTTGGATATGTTTTACTTGTACTTAAGGAGCGAGGGAAGTTCTGTCGAAACAACTTTCGGCCAATGTTTTTAACATGTTAAATGTCAAGTGTTCAGTAAATCAAACTCTTTTTTTTTTCATCGTGAACTGGTATTTCTTTTAATTTTCCTGAATTCATGCTAAGAAAATATACGATCTTTCATCACCCTGACAAACAAAGTTTGAAATTGGTTAAGATTCGCTGTGATGGTCGACGCGCTATCCTCGCCTTCCCGAGAACAGAGATGGTTTGCTACATCAACTGTGTTATGAGCTGATGATTTTGCAATAGCTGAAGCATTTATCATCAAACAGTTAATAATCATCTCAATTAAACCCGTTAAAAAAAAAGAAAAGTATTGAAATCAGTTCAACCGCATGTTATTTTAGGTGAGCTCTTAAGATTGTAGTAATAAGAAGTATGCCGATTAAACCAACTTTCAAACAAAAAACCGTATTGAAATCGGTTCAACCGTTTGGGAGCTACGATGGCACAAGTAAAGGATTCAAATTTACACCCCTATTTTTAGGTCTGGGCTTAATTCATTCCTTTTCGAGTGACTTTTATACCAAATACAAAAGCAGATGTTTGTACTAAGGAGTGTTCATTTTATTAAACGGACACCTTTAAAGTAACGCCACTTTTCTAATTTTTAATCTAAATTATTCTAGTTTTTATATATGAAAGCTTTAAGTTGTATCTATCAAATGCCATTTTTGTTTTCAAAATAACGTTATTTCTTTTTAAAATGAAGCGAATCTCCATTGGGGCAAGAAAATTATCTTTGCAAAAGTGATGCTACGAAAAATTTCCGTTGGGGGGACTGCCTAAAATAACTAAATGTTCAAAATCAGCAGTGTTCCAAATAATCAAAAAGTTTGGGGAGTTTAATATTTTAGAAGATTTGCTCAAATCCAGACCGAGAAAAGGCCCGCTTAAGGAAAATATTGAGGAAAACATCATTAAACTGCTAAAATTAACGAAATGTATGTATGTGCGGGAAATACCGAAGAAGCAAGGTGTTACCGTAGGTACTGTACAAAATATAAACACTCGGAATAACATTAGAACGTATTAAAGCAAAAAATCCCAAAAAGAAGCGAAAAGCAGCGCATACAGTTTAAAAAAAAAAGCAGGAAGTTATAAACAATTTTGGTCAGGAACAAAAATCGTTGTGTTTTTATGGACAACGAAACGAAGGTTAAAATGGACTGCAATACACTACCCGGCTCCCAGTTTTATAATGCAGTCGTAGGGGAAGATGTCCTCGATGACATGAAAACAAAAAAAAAAATGAAAAGTTTGGGAAAAAAGTCTTAGAGTGGCAACCGATTTGTTCTTGTGGGCTGAAAAGTTTTAGTTTTTTTTTACGATTGGAACAATTGGGGGCGATGATTACAGGAAAGAATGTATAAAAACGCGATTATCGCCTGTTTATTGCAAACATCATAACCCTCCATTGTTTTGGCCAGATCTGGCTTCAGTTCACTACGCTGGTGCCACTCAGGAGCTTCTTAATGCCAATAATGTACAGTTTTTAAAAAAGGAAGATAAACCACCCAACTGTCCTGAGCTTCGTCCACTTGAGCGATAATGGGCAAATATGAAAGCAGTGTTAAGAAAAGATGGCCGAACAACATCATGACTTGGAGAAATTAAAAAAATGTGGCCTCCTGCTACGAAGAAAATCACAAACAAACCTGTGCAAACAGTGATTCGCGGTATTCGCGCAATAGTTAGAAAATTTTATAGTTTCTGAATATAATTGATTAGAGAATAAGAATAATTATTTCATTTAACATTGTTAAACATTTTTATAACAAAAAAAATTAAATTAGCCCGAAGTACTCGAATTAGTAGCAATTTTTCAGTGTCCGCTTTATAAAATGAACATTCCTTAACAGTGTCTATTTTGCTTTCACTATTTAACCAAACAAGTGCGTATATACTAATAAATTTAATGTTGTTTACTATTATTTATTTTGGTTGTAACTAATACGACATCTTTGATACCCTGTAAAAACGAACGAAGTTTCAAGTTCCATCCTTGAAAAACAAGTTAGAAGAATTACAGCGAAAAAGTGTTCCGAAAGCTTTTATGTTAGATTGGAAAGTGCTCAAGGTTAAAACATCTCAATTCAAAAGCAGGTATTTCTGATTTTTAATTTGATAATAAAATATACATACTTTGCTACCTGTCAATTTGAAAATTTTCAATAAAAAAGAAATGTAAGTGTGATAATATAATAAAGATAACTCTGGTAGAATCGGAATTGTTTAATTATAGCTAAATAATAACCAAGTAAATATCACAAATAGATCCCGAAATACGATATGATAAAACTGTATTTTCAAAGATACACCATTGGGAATTTTAACGTGATACACCGCCGCCAAATGTCGTGTATAAAATGCATTGTTTATGGGTTTTATACGCTGCCAACTCAAAATGTAACGCAGTATAAATCTACCAAAACTTAAACCTAACAAAAAGATTTGCTGACATGTGTAATTTTCACATGATATTCAACCAGTTGGGGACGTGAAATTTATATATAAATATATCTGATATGATTTTTCTTTTTGAACTCTGGATACGCAAGAAAAAACCACTGTGGATCGGATCTTCAAACTGCAATTTTCTATTTTGTTGACTATGTTAAAAATTTCATTTTTAGGTTCTCACACATTAAGTGGACTTTTAGTTCTAGAAGTCTATCTTTTTGGATTATAACTGAAAACTTTGTCGACTTTAAAATATTCAATAATAAAAAAAAACTCGCTTATTGAAAATTTCAGTAGGTACATGTTGAATGGCAAAAACTGTATAAATTCAAGAATTTTGTACATATAGCAAACCGCAAAACCGGCTTCGAAACACGTGTTCTCTAACCAGCAGAAACAGTAGGTTCGTTATTTACGCGTTCGCCACGAGCTGTTTTCCTTACCGGTTTGTTGGAATTTTCGCTGACCGACACGTCCAAACTTTCGTTGGCCTGGTCGTCGACTTGGCTGGTGTCTCCGTTTGTATCTCCATTGGCACGTTTGCTTCTTTTTGACCGTTTTCCCTCAGTCAAGGACGAACCTTGCACCGCCGGATTCAAATTTGGCGGGTTTTTCAAAATGAACGTCACTAATTTGTGGTTGGATTCTAATGCACCATGGTAACCGCATGCTTTGCAACCTTGCGAAATAGTGCTGCGCTTCGTGGAAACCAGCAGCTCCGTTTCCGGGTTATCACATTCGGGACACAAAACGAATCTAAGGGAGAGAAAAGCTTAAGTTAAGCTAGTGTTTGCGGTTAAAGTGGTAAACCATTACTTTCTGATGAAGCCGTCGAGTAAATCCTGCAGCTTGCCGGCATCGTGCGAACCATTGACGATGAAGCGCTCGTTTTTGAAGTCGAACTGCGTCTGAGCGCCTAATTCACATCCAAAATATTTTGTCGGGTAGGTGGGTGGTCGGCCGAGAGCTTTAGCCACTTCAGCCATGTTGACGATGACTGTCTTGATGCCGTTGCCTTTACCTTCCACTTTGGCCATCAGCCGGGGCATCTTGTAGCGATAGAAGACATCGCTGACGTTGCGATTGACGTTGACGCTGCCCATGATGCCAGCGGTGTACCAACGGCTTTGTTATCGTTATGGACGTCGTCGACAATGATTGCGGTGACTGTGGTTGTGTGACTGCTGCTGCTGTTAATTTTGCTGCTAAAATTCTCAATGCTGTCGCCAGTCACGTTTCTCTGAAGGGTTGGAGTTTCCGATGCCTATTTGTTGATGAAAATTTTGTCGTCCTATAACAGGTGGGCTCACGTCGCTGCGAAGTCATACACCTCGCTGGCCCGGGCCCTAAACTCCCAACTATGCTTCTGGTTAATAATGTCTCTGAAAACATGAGAAAATTTTTATTATTATTAATTGAATTACCACTTTTTCGTCAGTACAATTCAAACGATTTTGTCAAATCTGTACTTTTTTCTCTGCTGTAGTTCTTTCTCTTTAGTTTTTAATAGTCTTGTTTTACTTCGATATGATTTTTAATTTAAAAAATATATAACTTTTTATTTGAAGCGTAGTTGTTTCTTTATCAAAAATCACGAAAGTCTATTTATTGGGCTCTGGAGCCAATTTTTTTCATTACAATATGATATGGTATTATTAACGAGACCTGTTCGTCCGTTACATGACCATTGAAAGAAAACCGGATAACACCGTCTGCTTCCGGATATTTAAATATCGCAGCAGTTGCTGCATCGAAACGCCTATGAAATTTCCAATGAACTATAAAAAACGCACACAACTGGCACTCTAGAAAAATAATAAATTCTTTCTTCAACTTAGAGCACAGTTGGGCAAAGTAGTGAAATCTAAGGAATAATGCAATCATTTTATCTTTATGTGTTTAATTAGAAATAACAATCTGTGATCAAATTTTCGACCTCGGAAGGGTTGCGCATCATGAATTTCATCTGCGCTTGAAAAAAATAAAATCACAATTGTGTGAACCTAGAGTATATTCAACTTTAAAACTTCTCATTCAAAGAAAGAAAATTCCACACACTGAAAAACAACATAAAGTTAACTCCATAATGCAACACTATAGGGGCTTTAAGTAGGAATTCCAGCGATTTGATGCAAAGTTACGTGGTTTCATGAGGACAACACTGAAATCAATAAACAAAAATGTCCCCGCATAATGTTTCGGTCCTTGTCGCTGTCTACATCGGCCTCTCTCGCTCTTGTAATTGCTTGTTAAATTATAAGGCACATAAAAGACAATTTTCGTCATATGCTGAAGTTCGAGCGGTAGAAGTACAAGGAGTAAGTTAAAAATTCGTTTTTACATTTAGATATATATTAAATATGAGACGTGGAAATGTAAATAGGTGTAAATTTATATTTGAGAGGGCACCTTATTTGGCAAAGCAGCATCCACCCTCATTTAACGAATTATTTCCAAGGATTAGTCGTACCACTTGTAATTAAGTTTTAGCCACGCTTAGTTCACAGAAATAATTGCTGCCGCAGTTATTAATTGCCACTTTACAATAATAAGATAATAGGACGCCGTAACATCAAGAAACTGTGAAATTCCAAAAAACTAGGACACACTTGGAAACAAAGACATTTTCACAGGACGTCAATTGTATACTAATCGTATCAGTAACACAAGAAGTGTTTTCGAAAAAGCCAAAATTGTTCTTTACAATTTCTGAATTAACGTTCGTATTTTTCCCACTGCATTATTAGACATTAATGACTTTCGAAAATACACAGCAAATTTTTGTCGTTACTTCGGAAGCTATTTCGACTAATTTTAATGATGCACGAAATCAAGTAACGTTGGGTCCGATATTTTTTTGAACTCTAACAAAAATATTACAACCGAAAATTTATATTCAGAACAAAGTTTATTGTTACACAAGTTATCGTCATGGCAAGGTCGCTTTGATGGATATGTGTGAAGTTAAAAATTTATTTTTACTGTAACGAACTACATACCTTATTTTGCACGTTATCTAATATTTTAGTTCAACGACAAAATAACTAATTTCTTCGGTAGCATGAGAAACATAAATTCTCGTACAAGCGGTCTAATAATTTAAACATGTGTGGTTTACATATTTAATACTAAAAAAACGTACACACAAAAACATGTTTACAACTACGTTGTCATAAATTAAAAAGCGACCATTAAAGGAACATATTTAGCAGAGAACTTCATTTTAATTCAATTTAGTCCAGAACATATTAAAAATCTAATATCCTTCGCTTTATTATCTTTTCAAAAAAGTTAAACGCAAACTTTTACGTCAATTTAAAAAACAAATCCAATTGTTTACAGTGTCAAGCGATTTTTCTTTCTTCTGGGGTTATCTCTAATCTCTAGTATGGTCTATGTTTATAACAAATGTTGAGTTAGTTTTATATATGTAGTGACTTAATAAAATCATAAGAACGTTTTAATAAAATTTTGAGTTTAATTAGTCAATTTGATTGTGTTCGGCAATTGACTCAATCTACGAGAAAAAATTTATTTTTATTTTTCATTAGTTTTTAGTTTCAAATTAGTAAACGTCCTTGATACACAACGCTAAACTTATACAAATAACTATATATTATAATAAAATTATCACAAATTCTGTTTAACAAAATAAGTTTTTGTATTGATAACAATTGATATGGATTATTTTATTTATTGTTATATTTACACCAACAGCAACGATAAATATATGCAAAAAATAGTACTCTTACTAGTCTATATCTAAATTTCAGATATATTAATTATATGTATAAACTGATTTATCTGCGTGTTCGGTTATTATAAAACGTCAGATCACCATTCTCTCTACAACTTGACAGAACTCTGGAATTGATTTTGTTTTTCAAGATTTTCCCAGGCATTCAAACATAGATTATGTTTGTACTTTAAAGATCCATCAACACCGCAATTTGCTTCAAAAATAGACATGGAAACGACGCAGAGCTCCAACTGAGTGGATTTCAACCAGGCACTTGCCGAATTTTACTTCTGTAATGCTACCTTTCTCTCCTAAGACACAAAAACCCACGCCTTTATAGGAAAGAGTGTTTTTACAACTGTATTAAATTTGATGCTTTTTGATGAGCCCATGTCAATAGAAGTGTTAACACAATAGGGATATTTATAGAGCGTCACCGACATAAATCAACACATAATAATTGATGTCTAAAACATGAACATCTCACCTTATACCAAAATGGTCTATTTTTAATTGAATAATTTAATCAATCTTCATAGCCGCATGAAAATTAAATTATAAAGCCTGACGAAGGTGACGATAGCAAATGAAACTAGTCGACTACATGTAGGTTTATTTGTCCAAGATACCGAGAACAATAGGTCGATTAAACATCACATTGGAGGATGATCACTAGACAGCGGATTTCTGTCGGGCTACGTCACGATTTTAGTGGGGACGCGCTGCATCGCCGGGACTCAGTAGCGGGTGATAGGTAATCACTGAATTTAATTGTCACTTGATTCCATAAATACAATTAACGATTTATTAATCAAACGGCTAACTAAATGAGAACTGGAATTAACAGCAGAGTGCAACGAAGCAGCGTTATTCTAATCTCAAATAAACGAAGTGCAGCCGGTAACTCCAATGAATTCCCATCCCGTACGAGCCGTACCGAGTTTGGCCTTGTCTAGCCCGACAGAAATCCGCTCTCTAATGATCACATATCTAACTAAATTGTTAATAACTGCAAAAAATGAGTTCATAAGAACAATTGCTCCAACAATGCATTTTGTGCAAACAGGAAGAAAACTTCGAAAAAACTTTTATCAGTTAAGGTCTGTGACAATACCTTTTGAAAAAAAGACTATTGCTAGAAGGTTGAAACGTTTTCAGTCCACGTTAAAAAAGTAAAGAAAAAAGTGGGCTGTAGATTTTCTAAGGTCTAGTCGAAAACTGAATATACGTTCGTCATATTACATGCTGGTGAAATACGTAAGTGTAAAAAAATATTTAAATGATTGAGAATTTTGAAATTGATGGAACAGTCAATACAACTCTCTCTCAAACTATGTCCACACAAAAAACTAGAAACTTCGCTGAAGCTAAAACTGCCCGTATTAAACGAAGAGTCGAAGATTTTAGTCAAGTTCTCTTAAAAAAACAGTTTATCATTTTCTTTTTTAAATTTCTACAAAATTTTTCATTACGTAAATTTAAAAATCAATGCCTTAAATATTGATGGAAATTTTGGAAAGCGGATTTCACCACTGTTTTCGGTTTACAGGACTATAAATCGCAGGGGAAACATTGTCGAGTTCTTTTGTCGGAAATGAGAAACAGTAAAAGCAGTTTTAACACAAGCTGCTTTTACTGTATCTCATTTCCGACAAAAAAGTCGAAATGTTTCCCTTGCGACTTGTAGAGTTTTATAAGCTGAAAACAGCAGTGAAACCGTGTTTCGAAATTTTCATAAATAATTGACATATCGAAAATTAAAAAAAAGAAAACGATGAAAATAAACTTAAAAAAAAAAACTGTTCTTGTTAATAACGAAGAGATTAGATTCTGAAAATGTATTGAAGAACTAAAGGTAGCGGCGGCTCCTCTAATCACTATATTTTCAGCTTATGTGGCATGTACGCCCTTTATGCCAAGTAATGCCAACATCACAAAGTGTGCGTCACTGCCACCTGTTTCTATTCTGCTCAAGTTTGTGGCCGTAATGTGATTTACAGTCACGAGTGACATTTTAAACAGTCATCAAAACGTATTATTGATTTTTCGGAAAGAATTCAAAAACATACGCAGGTAACAACACTTGTGAAAATGCAAGTACAAATAAACGATAATACCATATGGTTTCTCTTCGATTAATACGTTTTACATTTCTGACGTTTCGTACTTTACACATCTTTGAATGTTAGTTTTCAATATACAGAAAGCAGTCATAATAACCCGAAGGAATGATACACGTGCGAAAAATGATGAGCATGTTTAGAAAAAGAAAATTGACGAAACATTCACTTACATTATCCCCACGTCGCAGAAATGCGGAACCGTCACAAAATTCATTAACGTTTTTTTCGGTGACATTCGGTCACTTATCGATAGAGCAGTAACATGTATTTATTAAAAAAAAAGACAAACGGAGTAATTCCGAAAATGCCATGGCGTCATGCGTGGGCGCAGGATGAGTAAAACCGTTCTAAATTTCCGGGCCGTCTGAAAATCGAAAAAATTCCATCGACTCTTACCTGTAGGTAAGTTTCGCATCGAATTTGACAACCTGATTTCCCAGTACAATATGGTTTAAAAATCATTAACAGGACCTGTTCATCCGTTGCGTCAGCATTGAAAACAGGACAATACCGTCTGCTTCCGGATATTTCAACACCATAATAGGTCGCTGTGACATCGGGGCAACTGCGAAATTTCGAACGGACTACATTTGGAAAGAAAGAAATTTTGACAATAGGCGTACGTCAAGTTTATCGTGTACTCCTGCGATTATCGTTCGAAATAAAGGGCCACAACTTCCCGATTCACTTTTCGGAAAAAACTAGCGTCAAGCAAGCGGCACCGATTACGTACTATTCTCACCATCGTGTAGAGGCGACAGCATGGGCATGGGGGAGGCCGTTTGCCCCTGGGTCTTGTCTTTCAGTGCTGTTATGTTGGATTTTTTTGATCGCTGCACCGAGACTGAGCCACGTAAGCGTCGCGGCGCGAATCGATGTCGTCGAACCGGCGCAATGCCACGGACATATCGATCAGCACAATGCAATGCGACAATTATTTTTATCGCGAACGCCACTGTTCTCGCCCGTTCAATGGTGAAATTATGTTAGCACGCCCCCGACATCATTTTCCGCACCTTCGAACGCGCATTTTTAGACCTTTGAAATTTCTAGAACGTAATCGCGACCATGTGAAAATTAGTTTCGATTAAAACATGAAAATTATCACGGGACGGCATATGTACTTTTGGTAAATACGGTTCATGCAAATTGCGTCATCCGTTCGTAATTTAAAAATCGTGCAATTACGTTGTTTCCATGCGATAAATTTAAGTGGACGATAAAGTAATACTCACCTTTGTGGCTTACTAAAGTCATATAAGATGGTAGCGCCCTTCTGGACGAGACCTCCCACACAAGCAAAAACAAAATAAAACGTCGTTCCCAAAGATACGAGTGGAAAAATTCTGCACGCTTGGAATTACTGAAAAAGAAAAGGATCAATCAGTTATTTCGCCGACGAGTATTTTTAGCAACATAAAATAATAATAAAAATATATGGACGGAGCTAGTAACGTGATCTCACCTTCTATTTGAAGCGTTTTCCACGTACCATCTATTATCGAATTAACGTTCAAATAGCAAAAATATCTTACGTTAAACTACTATTCTAAATGAAAGGCCAATTTTATGGAATAAAGTGACTGAATTTTAAGAGACAGCAACACTACTACCTTTTTTACAACGCCATATGCATGATCACGTACACGGCACACTATTCTTCTGTCTTCCGTCATTCGGACAATTTTAATTTGACATTTTGACGTAACGCCATCAGTGGACAGTGGTGCCACTCCTTAAATACGATAACGAAATTCCCCATATTGCAATCACTTTTTTCTAAACATTTTCAAATGGAAATGCGTTGTACTCCACTTTGTTTGACTTGAAATGTTAGTACGAGTAATATGAAAATGATTTTTAAGAATAACAATAATAACTTAATTTATTTGGATTTCTGCCTGTTTGTAGATGCTTTCCCAGTGGCGTAGCAACTAACAACAGTTCGGGCGTGAAGGTCAAATATTTGCGCATTGCACTGTTTGTTGTTATTCAATAAAATAATTATATCAGATTGTTATTAGTTATTTTATCAAGTATCCAGAGATAGAAATATCATTGTGGTTTATATATCATTTCATAATGTTTATGTTACGCATGCAAATATCGACAAATTTGTTTGTTTTTTTGTTTTGTATACAAATTAAATTGTATTTATAACGAGTGTAAAAAAGTTTTCAGATTAGGGTAGGGTATGGAAATATTTTTCATGTCTTTGATTAAACCGCTAAACCGTACAATGTCAATCTGTGACTCTCAATAAATTATTGAAAGTCACAGTTCACGCCTAAGTTAAAATGAACTTTTTGCCACCATGGAAGTCCTTCGTAGTTTTCGCCCCTTTATTCCAGCCAAACACTCTTGACTTTCTTTTCAATATCTTTGAGTCCAGGCACAGATTACATACCCTTACAAGATGCGAAGGCTTGCGGTGATACCTTTGTTTTCGAAGGGTGCAAGTTTTATGACCTTGAAATAGGTCGGCCATTAAATAGGTGGTACTTTCGACCGGGAAATTTAAAATACATTATGCTTCCCTGAGTCACAGATTAGGTACATCCCTTACGTTAGGGTACGTAACCTGTGTCTAAATTGTACATATTTCATTTACAGAAAATCGCTTCTTATTCTGACCTTTTTTACACAAAAATTATAATAAAGAAATATTATAGTTTCACTGGATGGAGTGAGAGGGTGAAGTAAACACAGTACATTTAAAGAAAGTTTCTATTAAAACATTCCACTTAGAGACTATATTTAAAAACAAGTAGCTAACCAAAACTACATATATGAGATATTTTAACATTTATCTATGAAGACAAAAATCAAAATAAATAATACATAATAAATTAGAAATGCTGCTACCTATACACAAAATTACAAATGGGTTAATATAATGATTTTGCGATTTCTTTTTGAAGTTCTGCTGGATTTTAATTCCCTATTAGTGTATTTTAGAGAGTAAAATATTCTTAATCGGATAAATAATTTTATCACATACTCTTTTGGAAAGTCAGAACATGCATGTATGAATTGGACGTCTTTCATTAAATCAAAATAAGAATTGGAAATTCCTGGCCTTGTACAAAATGTTTGAAACACAGAAACAAAGATTTTTTCTAATTTGTAGATGTATGCAACAAATCGTTCTCCAGGAACTTTTAAACCACCATACATACACTTATCCGTACCGAAAGCTTTAAAATGTGTCAATAATGTGTCACAATTTAATTCAGTAACTTCTCTAGAAAAATTGTTGCATATTTCACAGGTATGTATGTTTAATGATTTTTTAATTATATAACCACATACATAATTAAATGCGTTTTGGTAGGGAATTTTTTCGTGTCTATAGTCGTATTTGTCCAGGGGTATAGCTTTTGCGCAAGTAGCTTGTTTCTCTAAAATATTCTCAGATATTTTAGGAAGACCTGACGATTTTAGTTTAGTTAATAACTTATCACAGTCGTCCGCACAATTCATACTATTACTGTGATAATAATCTTGACAAAATAATTTTCTAAACGTTCTTTGAAATTGAACGGGAGTGGGATTGATGCAATTCCCAGTTTGTTGTCGTATACAACCAAAAAGATTTTCCAGGCAGTCCTGATTAAGCCGTCGTGTTTTTAAATATTTGAAACCTGCAAATTGTAATTTTTGCCACAACTGTTTCACTGCATTTATAGTTATTATCCAACATGGTACAAACCTTGATTTAGAAGTGACATCTGCATTGTTTTTATTTAAGATTTTCAAATTTTTCAAAAATGTCAGGGTATTATCTAAAAACTGTATTTGATAATCTGCGCCTTCGAAGAAATTTTTGTATTTATTTTGTGAGTTTTTATTGGTAGAATTTAAAATATCGAAGAGTTTGTTAAACATTCCAAGCACCTCTATTGTGGCAGCAGCTTCGGCAGGAAGTTCTCCTAATGTAAGATAAGTATTCATTCCGGCTGCAACTGTGTTGCTTATAACCTGAGTTGCAAGTTTCACTTTCATTTTTTGAAAGTTATTAGGGAATATGTGAGCATCTGTAAGTTTAGGAGCACATCTATAAGTTTGCTTTTTGTCTTGTTCATAAAAGTGTTTTATAAAAAACCATGAAGTTTTTTGATTATTAAAGTGAAAGATATTTTGTAGCAAATTATTTCTTGTGGCCTTTATCAAGTGGCAGGTATCAAAAATATATAAAATATCTCTATTTTCACTTGTAAAAGTGGGTTTGTCTGAGGTAATACCAAGCATTTTTGAAAGTTGAATAAAATTTGTCCCCATGTCACTTATAACAGCATCAACTTGTAAACCAATGTTGGATAGTTTAAAAATGCATTCTTGAATAACATTACACAGAGAAGCCGCTGGAAATTGGGTTGCAACAAAATAATATGCTAATGGCTGTTTCCAGTTGGAATAAATCCCTCGTACCATAATAACAAAAGCATTTTGTGCAACTACAAATTGCTTTTCATTATCACCAGTATCTTGAAATCCTATTATCTCATCTTTCGCAGTATTATAAAATAAGTTGGCTTTAACAGACATTTCGTCAATACATATGACACAATGTTTGTCTAAATCTAACATTGTATCTACCTTCAATTGCAAAGCTTTAAAAATAGCTTCATTTTTCAAGCCAGGATTGCAAACAATTTTTGCAGTCATGTTCTCCAAAGTTCTTTTGCTTGGAAGGTATAAGATTTTGCTCATAAACCTATAAACTCTAGGCCCCAAAAAGTAGATTGTTAAAGCTATTTCTTTGAATTGAGCTGAATATCTTCTTCCATAAACGCTTCTACCCTGTAACTTCACTTGCACCTTCACAATTTCAGCCAATGGTTTTGACAAAAACTTGTTACACATGCTTTCAAAGTCCTCAGGATTATATTTGTGGTTATCTTGAATGGCAACAGGTTGGCTTGCTGTTGTCAGTTGCCTTCGTAATTTTTTCACTGTTTCACGCAATTTCGTTTTTCTTGGAGTTGATGCGCTCAACAGACTTGATGTTTGTGTTCCCACTGCCGATGTTGTAGGTTCTCCAACATGTTGAGGTTCTACACATCAATATTGTATATTAGTGTCAATATAAGAATGATTTATGAGAAATGAATCAAAAGAGAATTAAATAACCAAGAAATCAATCTACATTATTTGCATCAGTGGATTCAGTTACTACTATTTCATGCCAGTAGATTTGACCAGTATATATGTATTATTCATGACACATTTTTTTAAGATTTAATACATACCACATACAGAAGACAACTCCCTCTGATCTTCAAACTTCTTACTTAAACCTGAATCAGGCAACTCAATTGAATATAACAATTCATCGGAAGTTGAAGGTTTATCACTCTGCTTAGTTACTTCACCACTTGTTACATCTACAAATATTTAATACATGATATTAGATTAGGTATATACTTTGTCATTATTTGATAACTACCGGAATGAAAAATGATTTTCTGTGGTGGTTCTTCAGTTGCAACTTTATCTTCCAACAAACGTTTCAAATGGGGAAATATTGTTGGAACAGCATTAGATAATAAACGTTTTCGAACGTCACATCCTAATGAATACCACTTGGGCTCAAAATGTAGTTCACACAGTCTGTAATTTTTATATAAATTCATACTGGGGAGAAGATCTTGCCGGTTACACATGTTGAGCCAACTAGCATCCCTGAAAATAATAATACATAAACAACATATACATATTTATAAAAAGAAACTTACTTTTCAGGATTCTTAGGGATTCTAAAGAAAGACAGAGTTTTTGTACAAGTGCGTGATGAACATCCTCTAACGATACACGCTGTACCTCCTCTACGCTCCATTTTGCAATTAAAAATTTAAAAGATTGCTTGCTGAACACTGTACACTACTCACAGAACACTTAACAATAATTGAGGTTAACTACAATACCACCTATTTAATGGCGACTAGTGTCATGCGCCGTAAATTTCGTTTCGGCGGGAAACGGCTACTTGCGCATCTTGTAAGGGTATGTAATCTGTGGTCCAGGTAACCCATGATTCATGAGTAGGCAAACAAACACAACTTTATTCGAAATTTAATTTGACAAGTTTGAATTCTGACGCGCAAGGTTTAATTAAAGAAATGCAAAATATTTTCGTAGCCTTAATCTGAAAGCTTTTTGATAATCCGTCATAAGTATGAATACGGTTTTCAGATGAAAATAAAATAAGAAATAACGTGGTAAAGGCATACGCATCGGGTGTGACGTCAAGTGGGATGAAATTGGCGCGAAATTTAAAATACATTCTTTAAATTGCAAAAATTTATTTGTGATTATTCAGTTGTTGCAGTTGTATGTGTGATGTCATCGCAGAATTTAGGTTTGTGGAGAGAACTGAGCATAAATATGTCAAAAACTTCTTTTCAACACTCAAGAGTTAAGAGCAAATTGGGAATTGCATTTGCTGATGTCCCACATTTATCAACATTGATACGAAACCACATTTTTGGACCCTTCAACTTTTAATAATTACATTTTTATCATTATTAATTTCATTAACTTTCGTTAGCCGACAACTAATTGACAGAGCAATGACAACTCAAGCTGAAATTCCTAGACTTCCCTAGCGAAGCTCACAAGAGTCGCAAGGTCGTTGATGCCGCCCCTCCCTTATCTATGATGCCACCTAACGTCACAAATAGATGCGCAGACG